AAGTTGAAAATTTAAAACATTTCTAAGTAACGGTTAAAACGAAATTGTCAGTTATTTTGGCTGAACCACTTAGAATGAGAAGCTAATAAGTTCCTTCTTTTTATGTATTATCTGCAACATTACAATGTACCGCTAGACGCAAATTTCATTGGAAAGGATATGAGTCATAAAATTGCAGCCATAATTTGTTCAAAATTATCAGTTTTTTCAAAGCAAACGTCTCAGAATGAAAAGGTTACAAGTTCCGTCTTTTTGAGTGCTGTCGACAACATTGCTCTAGACCGCTAGACGTCAAATTTTATTGAAATTGATATGAGTCATTAAATGACGACCATTTACAATATGGCCTTTAAATAGCTGCAATTTTGATATCACACAGGAATGGGACGGAGAACTCATTAGGGCAAGAGTAGCAGAGTTATAGTAACGTCGTCTGCATGCACTGCGACAGTAGCTTAGTCCATTGTTTAGTCGACTCAGGCGGCTCACTTAACTGCGAGGAAAAAGTAAGACAGGGGCAGAGGAAGACTGAGTGCATTCATAGTTAGCGATGGCTACTTGGCCGATAGACGACGGGCGACGGAGGTCGACAGAGAAGGGCTAACGGACGACCGACGATCGATCGCCACCAAGGTGCTTTGCCATATCTTTTTCATCTAGCATTTGTTCGAGATCATGTTAAAAGAGGGATGCAGAGAAGGCATGTTCGGTGAATCGGAGGTTTGGGCAGTCGCAAACATTATCGATCGGCGACGTCCCCCGCGCGACGCGCGGAGAATGATCTATAAATTGCCAATGCTATTTCAAAATCACTTCCTTTCTGAAAAATAGGCGCACGCGGAATGGGAATGAGTACACCTAAACTTCCCTAGAGGACATGATCAGTGATACACCAGGAAAGCTTACCTTTACTTTCAAATGACAGCATTGCAGATCACGGATGTCTTGATCCGGATTGTGTTTGGAAGGTTGACGAGAATGACGGATGGAATATTATCAGCACAACTGGTTAGTTACGTTTTTCGACGAAAAATATAGAAATTTAAAGTTTGAAATTTTCTTGGGAGACGAAACTGGAAAGCTTATGTAATATAAACGTAAATAAATTAGCAAGCAACAACAGCTTATGGTTGATTTCGAGTAGTAAATTACTGTTTAAGTATGAGGTTGAGGGACCAGCATGGGGGGAGAGGGGAGGAGAAGTGTAAATTCTCTTCCGCTGGCAGAGACCAGGTGCCTCGGAATCATAATTTTGGTAGCATTGGTGCCTTTGGGACATAAATAAGGAGCTGGTAATATAGCAACGATCACAACATCAGGCTCACGAGCTGCTTTTGCATCAATCGCGCTCCCACCAGGAAATCGTACCGCCTCGCTCTACAGTCCATACTTTCAGCAGATCTCAATCCAGGTACGTTACGTCTCCCCACTTGGGTAGTATGAACGGTCATCTAAAGTGTTTCAGTGCGTTCTGGAGTTTGCTTATCGCCTGAGCAGCGTTTCTCACTCTTCATTGACGCTCTCGACAGAATTCCTAGTGCCAGACGGTTGGTGTAAAATCAGATTGCTTAAATTCAGACTATGGATGCGCCATGAGCTCGTGGTTGCTCGGAAATTTCAGAACTCGTGTGACCGTTAGTGTGGCTTACCTCTTTGCCATTTGTTGCTCGGCCTCATATACTGTTTGCATCCACCTATCTAATCCATGCCCGTCTCAGAGGGCCTTATCACGTGCACTCTCTATCTGTCCACTAACTTCTAGTAAACAAATCTAGACTCGTTGTTTTCAGACCATTTTGGATATGAGCCCGCCCGGTCAGTGGTTTTCCGAGAGGAAATGGACTACTACAGTAGGTGAGCGAGTTATAGCCCATACGTAATATCACCTCCCCATACAGTAACCGAAGAGTATGTGAATTTGTTCAGAAGACCTCGTCTGGGAAGATTCGAGCCAGGCCACTTTACTACACCAACACGATTGCGAATTGAATGTCATTCAGAAGAACGAAGTCAACTGGTATCAGGTAAAAACACCTCAGCAGGATGTCAAATTGGGAAAATCGTATGGGATGACGATTGTACGGGTAGGTTGCCGTCGTACCTACCCTCCCACCCAGATAACTCACAATCTTTAGCTGGAAGCAGTCCACTGGCCACTTGTGAATTGGAGTCGAGGTTTTGTGAAATATCGAACCATATGAGATGCATGGACAACGTCGTCTGCGACATTGCTCGTGATTGCCCTAATGGAAAAGATGAAGAGTCTTGTGGTAAGTTATCCTACGCCACTGTTCACGGGTGTACGGGTCGCTGCCCTCTGCCTGAAAGTATCTGTGAGTCAGTGTGTCTGTGTAAGCCTGTATGTCTGTCTGTGTGTGTCTGTGTCCCTACCCATCTGTCTGTCTCCCTGTCCGTCAATCTGTCTGCCGTCCATCTGTCTGTCTGCCTGCCTGCTTGTCTGTCCGTATGTCTGTCTACTGTCTGTTTGTCTGTCTGTCTCTCTCTCTGTCTGCCAGCCTGTCTATTCCTGTCTCTCTACTGACAGGTTCTTCTCCAGTAGTTGATCCAACCGTCTCTGTCAATGCATTATCGGTTAACTCTGCCGCACTCCCCCTTTGTCAAACACACACAATGGTTTCAAGGTCTAGGTCTAGGGGACAAGATGTGGCTAAACAAATTCGAACATCTTCAGACGATCAACCTGTGGGAGCCAAATGCGATTTCAACGACGAAGCGGCGTTTTGTGATGGTTGGACGATGTTGACTGTCGAGCAGGCCAAACCTGTTACGGAACACCTGCTTCAGGTGAAACGGCCATTGGGAAACGTTGGACCAATACATGCATCTAGACCTGGAGGAGGTAATTTTACTGTTATTTTTCGAACTTACTAAAAATTCGTCGACTAACCCTCCCGATTACTTAAACAGATATTAACAACTGTTGAGGTAAGAACTTTGGATCTTTGCGTAGCCCTTCATATTCCTATCGTGATAAATAGATATCCGCATGGTTCCTGGCAGCACCACACACCGCTGCACTTCATGGGAATAAATTGCACTATTTTTACGATTGCGCTGCTCCTTATGTTTTATTTATAGTTAGTAATAGTTGTTGTCTACATCTCATGATCCATGATCCGGGACACGAGCCCCGCTCCAAAACTTTTAGGGAATCAAGGCTGAGGCGAGGGAGCAGGGAGGGGTATGGGTAGATTCACCCAGAACTGGGTGGACGCGGCAATTCGCGCGGCGAAATTCGTGGTGATTTAAACGATTTTAGCTCCTATCATTGGGGTCCAAATTCGAAGTAGAGTTGATTAGTACGATCATCTGACCATACTAATGTACTCTACTTCAAGTTTACGCCCCAATGATAGGTGCCGAAGTGTCCTAAACCCCACGAATCTCGCCGCGCCCTTTGCCGCGTCCATCTTGTTCTCTGAGTGAATGTTCCGTCCCCCAGCAGGGAGAGGCCGGGGAGAAGGGAAGGGGAGGGTTGCCCTGATTGGTCAATCCAGCGTCCACTTCAATGTCGACGTCATCATAGATCAGCCGCTCGGCATTTATTGATCGACGGATCGGTTATGGCTGGCGTCTGACCATGCCATTCGGTTCATAACAGAGAGCCATAAACAATAACAAATATGTTCGCAAACAAAACAATACAGTATGCATTATTTTTACTGAATAAAACACAGACCGTGAGAGTTTTTTCCCGTGCTGCATAGAATTTTTGTTGAAACATATGACAAATTTGCGAAGATTCGCCTGGAGTGGATGCTCTCAGATTTCGCCGACATGCTTGTTTCCACCGACCGACCGGCGCCGTTGCTGGTCATGTGTTGGCAACGGGGATAGATTGCGTTCAGGGCCTTGCGAGCGTCCGTGCCGCCGCCGACGTGCGTGAGGATCGATGTCCAACGTTGTCAGCATGTGGCCAGCAACGCCTACTGTAGAACTTCATGTCAATGCGATATTTAGGTGGATTCTTGCTTTATTCGTCTGAACTGAATTGGAATCGTTCGTTATCGACGAGGGACACATTTTTTACGTCACCGTTTTACCCTCCTATTTTTAATGACGACGGCAAATGCAAGGTTGGTGTTCAGATGGAAAATTGACTATTCAGAACAGGAAAAGGTATACCTTCTAGCTGAGATTCTACGCAATCCAATCCGGAACAGATGCCGAATGGTCATTGTCAATCGTTCATCCGTTATGGGTCCAAAATGCAGAGCCGATCAGGATTCCTCTAGAATATGAGGGAAAGCGGTACGTTATCGAAAGGTAATTACTTTATATCAAGGCTACTCGCATGGAATAACTTTTTCAGAATCGAACGCTCTTGGCATCGGATCTCAGCGGACTTGGGACAGCTGGTTTGTGATTGCTCTAATAAAATCTCTTGAAGCCTTTGGTCAATCCAGCATCCCCGCAGTCGGCTTGTGTTCAGAATCGTAGGGGTGATTTGAATTCGTATGGAGGGTGATATCTTTTCCCAAAAACCGCGTCGTTCTCGTCGCATCCAATTGCGCGCAGTCGCGGCAGCCGCCGCGAAACCTTTGCTGCTTGCTGTGGGAATTTGGAGAAAAGTACCGCCATGCATTCGCATGTAGCTGATACAACTACTTACCGGTGTACAAGTCAGTACTTTCATCTTCCCAGACGAATCTTGTACCAATTATCAACCCCGGAGAGATGAAAGGTTTGATTGGTCCGGATCGATAACAATCTGGGAGTCTCCTCGGGTAAAGTCTATGATTTGTGTCACTTGGCTCTATAATACCTGGGCCCATAGTGAAGCGTAATGTTCCTAAACTATCCGTAGTGCCGGGTTCAAAACTGCCTTTTCATCCTGAACGTTTTGATGTTCGGAATCCCCGTAGGTCGAAGGGCAATTTTTTACATGTTATAGCCCTAAAAACTTATAGACTTAATTAGATTTATTCGAAATACTTCGATTTCAGTTATTTCCATTTGCCGTCCAAATCGAGGCCAACTGGGTGGCTACTTTGTCAGGAATCGGTATTTCGTATGTAGCCGTGGATGATATCTCATTGAGCGTGGAGTGCTTTGACAAAGGTATGAAAGGTTCTCAGCCGTTTGTGCAGAGATATTTGGAAACTCATATGTCGGATGATTCGAGTCTTCATGTTGTCGCAAGGGTCTTTTACCAAGTGAATCTCTTTTTGAAACTTCACCCTCTTTCAGAAGCATATCAGTTTTCCAAATAGTTTCAAATGCATTCCAAAATAATAAGGCTTCCCTGGTGGCTAACAAACACATGTTACGATTGTGGATGAAAGCAAAGTGCATGGCGTATCAGAGCGAACTGGTTCAGAGCATTAATAAGTTTTTTTAAAGTGCTAGACTAAACCGAACTACAGTATTGATGTATTTCAGCCGCCGAACTGTCACCTGTTGGCAATTGGACATCAATGTCGATCGACACATGCGGTTCCACTGGTACCCAACGGATTCGGAAGGAGAAATGCTTGTCACGTGGTCATAGACGTGGTCCATATCAGTTCTTGTCCGTTGATGATCAACAACAGATATGGACAGTACCTGAGACACTGCTGTATAGGTTTGTCATGAACAACTTTCCCATTCCTACGAGAACCCTCCATTTTAGTCAAGTTCCATAGATATTGCCGACAACGCCCAAGCATTGTCAAGAGTTCTGAGCAGTATATCTTCAGGTTGATAGCTTGCGGAGCAGAAGGCGGCTCGTTTCCCCACAGAGTGGTCGAGAACGGCGGTGGTTGTGTGATAGTCGACATAAAGCTGATCATTGGCACCAAACTACACATATCTATCGGACAACAGGGAGAATCACCTTGTGACAAACACGTCAAAAGTTCCATGGTGAGCTTTGTAAAACAGGTGAAGGGGCGAGCAAGGTTCCATCGGACTTTTTCCAGAAGCAGCATGTTCTGGAGAGCCTGTGCTATGGTCAAGACGCGGATCAACGACTAAACGTAAGTTTCTGCAAAAGTTCGGGGCATAGTGCCAAGTGACGCACCATCTCACGATGGTCCGGAGAACAAATCCTGGTTTTATATCCCCAAGCCAGCCAAGACTCCCAGCCTTAAGAATCGGATCTGTAATTCGATCCTCATGTGGTCTAGGACAGCTTCTTCGGTCTATCTAGGTAGTCAAAAATTTTCAGGCATCAATGGTGTATGGCGCTGGAGGTGGTGGTGCTACTACCGTATCCGTTGATTCAGCCTACATTATTGTTGCCGCTGGTGGAGGTGGAGCCTATCCAAGCGAATACATCGAGGGCATACCTAACAAGTGAGTGCTCTTTGGAAATATCTTTTTCACAAGAGGTATCAATTCAAGTTTCATTGGTTCCAGACCTGCTGGCGGCCTGTTAAGAGGGAAACTGCCGAAGAACAACTCACAAAGCCACAGCAAAGCTGGAGATGGAATTTCCGTGAGTCGAGTCGGTAACAGTGAGCGTACAAACATCTATCAACAAAGCTTCAGGTCTCTTTACCATCCTCTCCTCTGTGGAGTTGTGGTAGATTTCCAAAGTTCGGAGGAATAGCCGCTCCATGTGAACCGGCAGCTGGCGGAGGGGGAGGGTTTTACGGTGAGCGGAAGTCGGTCTTGTTTGTCAGATCACCATATTTAGAATTATTTCACTTCCCAGGGGGTCAAGCCCAGACCCGGAACCACGGTCTCGGCGGGACAAATTGGATTGGCATCAATGTGTCTTCATATCAGATGAAATCCGGAGTACATAAAGGAGATGGGCTTCTCACTATACGTATGCAAAGTTTTTTTCGAAATCAATGATGCTCCAAGTCATCACCTTAATGTTCAGATGCCTGCCGCCTCCATTGTCCACCAAGATCCACCTGCTTCTTCACAAAACTCGATATGGCTGAAAGTATGGAGTGCCTCTGTGAGCACGGTGAAACGGTTTCTCCTTCTGGAAGCTGCACCAAATCACGAGGTTGATGTTTGCCTTTTGGATTGTTTTCTTTTCAGCTACTTCCCTTCTACTCTGTATTGCAGTAAGTAATTCTGCCGCTCGCTCAACAAAAAATCTCCCTGTGCCGCTAAATTTTTATAGTATGACGTCGGTGAGCACTACTAGAAACAGGAGGCTTATTTACTAGTACCTTTAGGTGACAGTTTTGGACAAAATCTTCAAGGCCCAAATTCCTCTCCAAACGGAATCCCTAACTTCAGCGAATCCTCTGAATAGTTTGCCTAGCGTCTCCCTTGCGTCTTGATATTCGCTAAAACCGCTTGTTCAAGTCTGGACATGAGGTCTCCGGAACGGCTACTTTCCCCAAATTTCACCGTCAGATCCGATCCACCTGAACTGCTAACTATGTCTTAAAACTCTCCATAGCTGCAGGATATGAAAAAGAAATATGTGCAGTTTTTTCTCCAGAGGAGACTTTTGCTTTGAGTACTACTCAGAAATCGGTGCAGATCTTTTATTTTTCCAGCTCTCTCTTTGTTAATCCAACGGAAATGGGCAGTCATGGCACTACTTTGCTGCATCGCCATACTTTTCCTCGGATTTGTTCGATGTAAGTCCCAAAACCCTGATGTTGGATTCAAAATTCATCACCTTCACCATATTTTACATTTGAATATGTTATGCAATTATGAAGATTATGGGAAGCTCTCATAAACCATTTGCGGTTGTTACCCGTCTTATGATGCTCACTTCAGGGCCGGCATCTTTTGACCGAATGGTTGGCCCTAGGTGAACTGTAGACTGCGGACTTGGTAGCTTGTATAGTAACTGATTTAGAAAGGAAACAGTAGGGATCTCCGAACGTTTACCCTCTACGAACTAACAGCAAGAAATTGTGGCACTCGTGCGGTGAACTAAATTTTTCTCCCCATAGAAATAAAGGATGAAAATTTAGGAGTGATGATTTTAGGAACGGGAAATTTCAGGGAACGTTATATGATGTAGGACCATTGAAGGCGTTCTGAAGGGGTGAATGAACTTCAAGTGAAGAGGTTCCACAGAAAGAGTTTGTTAGGCACGTTATACAGATCATCACTGTTTGATGAGGATCAGCGATTGGAAAAGTTGGAGTTGTGTTGGGAGAGACATTTATTTTTGTGTTTTACAACCATCTTTTTTTTTACAGTAGCACGAAGATGTACTAGAAGGCGACCAACAGCAGCGGATCAAATCAAATTGCTGGTGATGGTGAGGGAAATCTGTTTATAAGTTATGCGATGAGAATGTGGGGTGTTTAGAAATCGGACTACAAGTATGTTGACATTGGAGAGCCATACTGGGATCAAATCGCTTCACTCCCTTGTCTCCCATGGGATGAGATAGTCATCGGCAGGTGAGTACATTTTGAACTTCTCTACTCGATTATTAACAAGCAGTCTTCAGAGCTTATTCGAGAGGGGAACATCGAACAAAACTTGTCCTTGCCTTCTTCTGCTACTAACTATAACCTGTCCCCTTTTCTTCGTAGATGCTGCTCAATGAAAGTCTCTTGGAGGGGAAGCAGTTCTACCCACACAGTACCTCTTTTTCGGTGAAAAGATTAAGGAATTCGGAAATGGACTGGAATGTTTCGCTGTGATATAGGCGGCATTTGATTACCGAATAGTTGTTGAAGTCATACTGAACGTTCAGCCAATTGAGTGTTCTCAAGGTACTGTAATTATAAGTTTATTGTTGTTTTAGAGAAATCGGAACAGGTGCGTTCGGAACAGTCCACGAAGGCCGAACGTTGGATGGGCAGGTTTATGCTGTGAAAACGATCTGTATGAATAAAAGTACGTCGGCTGAGGCTCAACGTGAATTCGCTTTCGAAGCATTATTTATGCAGTATGTTTTTGTTATTTTTTGAAATTTGAGTAGTATTTTGGTGAGGGAGCTTCTGTTTCCCGTTCCAGACCACCAGTATGAAGTTTGAGATGTTATTTTAGCAAGTTCAATCATCCAAACGTTGTAAGGCTACATTGGATTCAATGGGATCCTCCTCGATTACGGATTATTCTCGAGTTTATGGGAGGAGGTGATCTGCGCTCGTTCTTGAGGGAAGCTCGTCCTACTCAGGTAGGGTGATCCTACCCCAGTAACACCTCGCATTTATCTGCTGGACTACATTTTTAGGATAACTTCAATCCGTATGATTTGCGAGTTTCAGATCTCATCAATATAGCCTTAGATATAGCTAGAGGTGAGCATATTTTTTGATTGAAAGACATGTCCTCATCAAATAAAGCTCCTTGAATATTCCATCTCCTTGATATCTGCTCCTTGCTACTCCAGAAGGGTCAGAACATCTTTGAAACTCATTAGAAATTAGAGGCCAGGAAACTGCCAAGTACTTTCCCATGATTCATGACTCAAGTGCTTTCGTTTAGGTTGTGAGGAATTGAACCGGCAGAAGTATATCCATCGAGATCTGGCCGCGCGAAATTGTCTGTTGACGGAGAAGGGTCCCAACCGAAGGGTCAAGATCGGTGATTTTGGCATGGCTAGAGATATCTACGAGTCAGTTTTTTTGTGAAAATTCTTTACATATATCCGACAACAACTTCTTTTTTTCAGAAATAATTACTACCGTAAAGGTGGACGTGCCAAGTTGCCAGTGAGATGGATGCCGCCGGAAGCTTTTCTTGACGGGTTGTTCACGACACAGACGGATGTCTGGTCATTTGGTTAGTTTCTTACAATTAGTTACTTCTTACAAATTTTCTCAAAGGGCCATACCAAAGTCAAACCCGGACTACAATCTTTTCGGGAATGTAGCCTGAAAACCGACCAAAGTACAAATCGACTAGGTACTACAGGTATTAGGTAATTGTACTACTCTTGTAGGCCCACGTTGGGTATCTGGGCAGAATGCTTGCTCCTCTTGTTTGGTGGATTATCCCACTACTAGTTGATCATCCCCATAAAAGTAAAAGATTCATCAAATTGTTCGGAACGATTTTTAAGCATTATTCAGTGGCTCCTACTCGTCCTACTGGTCGCAAATTAAAGGCGCTCCAACCATCCACCTCCTGTCTGAATTTTGTTGTGACCTCAAAAATTGGGGTTTTCGCAACCGAAGAGAAACTAAGAGCTAGTGACCATTTATATATCATCATGGCATGAATATTTTTAGGTGTTGTACTATGGGAGATCTCCTCGTTTGGTATGTTGCCATATTTCGGGGTTGACAATTTCGACGTGATGGGATTGGTGACAAACGGCGGACGATTGGATCCCCCTAACACTGTTCCCACTGAGGTCAGTTTGCGATTCGGTGGAATTCCCAGATATCCACAATACATTTTTTCACATTTCATGAATCTTTTTTTTTCTTCTGTTTGGTTCTCGATCATCATATCAGTGCTAACCCACTCTGTGTTGGCTTAGCGCACCAACGAGTGCAAAGATGAATAAATAAATAAAATAAAGAGATTATTTTCAGATGCACGACCTAATGCGAAGCTGTTGGAACACAAAAGCTGAAGATCGTCCATCGTTCACAGATATTGCAACAACACTTGAACATCTCAGTGAAGTAGGTGACTTAAAAATTTATTTAAAAAAGCAAAAATTAGCTATCCCGGTTATCCCGTTGTTATAGGGGTCGTCAGATATAATTATCACGAAAGTCCCTAGCTTTCTAAAACTTACATTCTACAAAAAGTCACGATTTCAGAATCAAGAGATAGCAAATGTACCGATTCACTGTTTTGCTCAATTGCCGTCTGGATTGGTTTCGCCTTGGGAGAATCCAGTGCAAGCAATGCCTGTACCATCACCTTCCATCGCTGATACACCTTGTACAGTCGTGACGGCACTTAGTCCCGGTACTCCCGAAGCAGCAGGTTAGGCAGGACTTAAAATTTGGAAATAAGCGAGCTCTCGGAAATTCATTGTAATCAGAGATACGTTCAGGATTCGGAATTTCAATGAACGGGGTACCGTATATCCCCATAAACACGGAAGCATTGAGAGAACTTCGTGAAGAAAAGTCAATGAGATATAATCCCGACGCAGACTCCGATTCAGGTACGATAATCATTAGGCAGAACCTGATGGGATTTTTAGCTAAAGGTAATGAAATTACAATAGCATTACATAGGGATTAAAGGGCGGAGGTGATATAGTGGCAAGTGACGCACGTCACACACACACATGGTCACGGGTTCGAATCCCGGATCGATATCCGCTTATGCAAACTAAGCCTTCCACCCCTCCTGAGTCGGATAATTGGCACCAGACTCGTCTGGGAGGTTAAAAGCACAGAATTGTCCATCGGCTGGCCACCAAAAGTCAATGTATCATCACATACGCATTCAATACGCCGTTACGATTCTGAATGGAAGTGGAATGCGTGGGCTCATTCCTCAGATGGGACTGATTAACGCACCGAGACTTTATCTTTGAGACTTTAGATAGAGAAGGGCAAGCAACAATTGGCACATACTCGAGGGACAACGAGATGGCCTTCAACTGTGCACTGTCGAGTGACTTGAAATGTTTTCAGAGCTCACAGGTGGCACCATTGTGGACACTTCGGCAACGATGAAAAATACACTACTTAGAAATCGGGTGAGTGATATCAGACCATAAACCTTTTGTTGTAATCGAGAAAGCGTAGACTAGATGATTTTTCTCTTCCTCAAGAGCTATCAAAGCCTTTCTTACAGTATAGGCAGAGGTGGTGTTGTAGAAAAGCTTCCTAGTAGGTACACATATCCCTATTTTTTTGAACAAAAGCTGTAAAATTTGTGACATTCAGTCTTGAGATGATTAATTTTCTTGTAGGTTCCGCCAACGCCTCCTCCACGAAGACCGACGTCCTTACCACGTTTCCCAAACGTTTAGGAATATTCATTCTTCCTGCCTATGAGTCGAATCTCTTTTTTTTTGAAAATATATCTTTTTATTCGTGTCATATTAGCTTACTTTGTTAGAATTCCCTCGTAAGTTCTTTCGTAGAAATTCTTTGTAGATTTTCAGAACTGTCTGTATTGCACATGTTCATATCTACCGTAACGGTACTAATCTTATTCATTTCATAGGATGCAATAATCTATATCACTGACAGTCTTTATGTTCAAATGATTATCGGGTCATCTTTTACATCGGTCTATTCATGCTATGCAGGGTCCTTCTTCTTGAATGCAAATAACTCATTTTCTTTCACTGATAAATATTGTAAACAAATAAACAACTGTTGTCAAAAACACATAAAAACAAAAGAGATCAATGATAGACAACGTATGAAGTAGAGCATAGCTTCCTGGATGATTAGAACAGCTAGCGACGTCTTAAAAGACAAGAGAAACACTTGAGAAGCACTGGATGGTAGAAGAGCAGCTGCTGCACAAAGGGTAGCTCACCGTAGATGTCAGCAGGGACTGGATGCAAGGCAAGGCGAGGCATTGAATGGTAGAAGAGCAGCTGATGCACAAAGAAAGATGTGGGTCCTGGCTCGAATGCCAGGTGACCCCCACAGTTAGGGCCACTTTGGCCCCACCCTGTATTGTTGTCTATAACCTTATCTTATCTATATTTGACAATTTTTTAGTCACCCGGCATCTATTCTGTTTCGGAATACTATAACACAATGTCTTCTAGACTCCAAGATCTCTCTTGGGGAGTTTTAGAGTTAGGATTAGGAAACATCCGTTTGTTTTTGTTTTTCTCCGTCCCCTCTCTTATAAACAATTCCGATTATACATATCATTCTGGGAACAGTACAGCTGTGATATCACTAAGCAAACTTCTTTGCCGAGAGAGATTCAATTCAGGGTTCTCCTGCTACCTTGCTGGTTGATGGAGAATCCATCTCGTCCGGTATGTCTCATCGAAAACGCTATCGATAGATTAATCGAATATGGCGATCGGGTACGTGGAACAATAACGGACTAGTCAGCTTTGGTTTCTTCAAAGGCGCTTTCAGATCCACGCTGCTCACAAGTACGCAGATGAACACAAAGAAAAAGTTCACGTAAGGTTTTAAAACCTACAGTTTGTAATGTGCTCGTCGTTCAATCCATACAATCGGCGAATGCTTCCATCAGGCATTCCAAAATTACCAAAGTCAGGTCAACGGATCTATTCGATCCGTTGACCTGACTTTGGTAATTTTTTATTCCCGTCATCTCTAGCCTCGGACTGGATTTATCAACTCATCCATGTTCGACATGATGCCTCATTACCAAAAAGCTATCCCATTCTTGTCGTGACCAGTAGTCGGATACCAAAGGCAGTTCATTCATCATCTCCCTGGGGTTCTTCCAGCGCAGACGCATGGTCAGCTATCTGCTACTGTGAGTTGTCGCCTCTTCCTTTGAATTACGGTGTCTTCTGCCACTATATTGACTTTGGAAGGATTCTTCATGATCATTTCCCTTCATATTTTCTCTTAGGCTTTTCGTGGTCGCTTTACTTGAGCATACGTCATCATACAAACGAAAGAAGACATGCTTTTGAGCGCATTGCACCGGTTCCACGATAACTCCACTAAAGCCCAGTGCTCCGCTTGTTTGAACTTACTGCTGGTTGTTTATTACATGTGCTACGGTTTTCTTTGCTTCCCTCGAATGTGTATAGGTCTCCTCCCCCGTCATTATTTCGAGGAGCAGTTAGGAAGTTAGAAAGTTCAATCATAATGGCCAGTTTTTGGTAGTGATCTTCTTTCAGAAAATTTTCAGAGTAAGCATGGAACCCCACACTACGGATGTCCAACAACACGGTCTAGATTGGTAAGATTTGAGAGTAATGCTAGAGGAACTTTACATTTCACAACATCGATAGAAAAATTCCAGAGCATACACAGTGAACGACGCTCTGGATATACGACAAAGAAGTCTCAATCGGTAGGGCTGCCCGATCACAGCTACAAAGCTATGGGATTTATTGTTTCAGCACTAGCCGTATGGATTTCAGATAGACATCTTGGTTTCTAAGCCTGGAAAACAGAGCCAGGCAACTTCTAAACGTGGAAAACAGCCCCAATTGACTCCTTACCAATCCTTTCTTGCCAGTGTAAGTACAACCTATTTCTCAATCGAGTGAAATGAGTGGCACATTATAAAGAAACTAGACAAAACCTTTAGCAGAGTATGTCTCGACCATCAGAGTCTTCAAACGTAATTGGAGCCCGACGGAGCTGCTCATGCACACGATCGTCATGCTACTGTACCAACTTGGATGGGGTTGGTCATAGGAAATGTTGTGATAGCGATAGGGCGTTCATCAATTGATTTAGGAATCAGAAGAATTCAGATCAGCATCACCCACTGCATCCGAGGTTGGTCTGCCTTTACTAGATGTCTGAAATGAAATTCCTCTCAAAGATCTCCTCATTCTCCTCGGACTCGGAGGGCAGTGCAGTGAAAATCCGGTGGGGTTCACACCCATCTTCCCCAACATTAGAGCAGTCGCTAAAAAGCTGAGAAGTGATAGACGTACTTGCACGCTCGTAATGATGCTATGCAATCAGGATACGACGCTAGGCTACCCCCTGAATTTCTGAAAAGGAATCAATCAGAAGCCAACTTAAGGTTCATTTCTTCTCCTGTCCTAGCTTTTTGCACGAACTAATTATCTCACCCATCGGATATCCTACGTTCCCAGGGCCTAGTTGAAGCCCTGACAAAAAACGTTTCTAATTGTAAGCACCATTACAGGCTTGCAGAGCTGGCTACCCTCTCCTCTGCTCTCTAGCGCTAGTGTTGAAGAAGTGGGCAGCCTAATCAACTACATTCGCACCGAGCGCTCATTCTATTGTAAATGCATGGACGTGGGAGATGGGAAGGGAAATATTCCTCCTAATTATGAGAAAGTAGGGACCACAAAACACAAAGATATTAGTTTCGATACAGGAAGATGTAGATATGTATGTAAGAATATACAAAATCAAAGTGTGGCTAGGTTAATGCCACCTGCACACCGTTGCCTTGAAATTATGCACGCCAGCGACGTAACCATGGTCAATCGTGTCAAGAACAGTGCTCCTTGTGATGAGGTAGTGAGCCCTGACACGAATAGAAGCCATTACGGTACACCGACGATACACAGACTGCGATAGCATGGGCGGAACGATACCTTCACAACCGAAAAATGCTTAAAAGGGATATCATCACGCGTATCTGATTACCGTTTACAACATTTACAATAATTAGGATCATTCACCCCTGACTTTTCCTATCACTTTCCCAGCCAAGATTAACCCTGTGTCGTTCAGAGTTTCGTCAGTGAAAAGCAAACAGTCAACAATTTTGTGTATACAGTAATGAAGGGAGACAGGCGTTGTACAATTCCTGGAAAGGTACAATTTAATTATCAAATTTTTTTAGAGAGGTTTGAACACCTAATCCTCTCAGTTCTAATCAAGTTCTCTTCCCTTCCCTGAGTTCTTACTGAAAGGCTTTTTTCTAATCGAAGAAATTCCATAAGCCAACTTGTAGATGTTGTCGAAGCGCCTTCCTGATTCGTGGATCCAAGTTGAGTTTATGCTCTACGACGAAGATGGAACGCAGTTACTGGAATTGCGTACAGAAGTGTTCGGGGAAGCACTCAGAAACACAGTTGTCAATGGCAAATCTGTTGAATTTATGTAGTGAAGAAGAACGTTGTTTACATTATTTATATTGTAGACATTGTAGTCTTCAGCACCACAGCTTGATTTTAGTCAAAATGTGCTTTGAATAAAAAGCGTTTGTATGGTCTGAAAACTCACATGAATCAATCCTACTATGTATAAGATTGATTTCTTCGAATCTCTTCGAATTGAGAAAAACTCGTAGGAGACATAACGTGGGACACTGAAATGTAGGGAATGTCTCCTTACCATGAGACGGGTGACGGTAAAGGGCCGTGATGGCGGGAACGGGACATTAGAACCGAACTTGCCATAACTCACGGCGAGTTTTCGGTGGCAGCAGTCTTGCTGGGATCTGGTAGGCACGTTAGGCCGCTTCTCCATCAATCGATGGGGCGCCAATTTTCAAATCCGATCTAATCATGGCTCCAATCATCCATCGCTTCCTCTTTGAACCTCAATTTAATGTCTCGCAGTAGGAGGGGAGAGGGCTTCATAGTTCAGATCTTGTTCAGGCGCTTCACCATGAGATATCCGCCGATCGATTGGTCGACTAAACTCGAATCTGATCCGCAAATTGCTCCAGTCACACAACACCTGCTCCGATTTCTTTCCGCGACAGGTCCGACGCGCGCAGCATTCCGCTCGAGACTATCCTGCCGCATCGCCGAGTGTGTGCTTTCGGAGTTCAACGATGCATGTTGTTTCACTGGCCGCGCGTTGACAACGGGAAACCTTCGAAGATTGCTTTTAGGACCACGTTAGCGGTATCGATCGGTGTCCAGTGTTGTCGACGCGTGGCCAGCAACGCGGTCGATCGGTCGGTCGACGGTTGAAAGTACGCACATTGATAAACTCTGAAACACCCATTGGTATGTCGCGTTGCGAGAGCACTGTGGCATGTGGTGCCACAGTGAGGGAACTATCTCGTTTGGGGCTCCTTTCATACAAACAAGTAGTCGGAGCTTGAAACTGCGACCAGGCCGTGGCAAGTTGTTCGTTTCCAGATTCCACAAGGGAACCCTTTCATAACGAATTTGCGACCTTCGAAGATTACTCTCAAGGTTCTTTGCATGGTGTTATAGAAAGGTGAGGGTCATGCTAAGAGAGGGTGGGGTGGTTTATCGTTTACACAACCTTTCCCTTTTCAAAGAACTTACAATCGGGATGTATGTTCACTTCTTGGGCCGCTCCCCCAGAGGACTCCCTGAATCTACTCAATGCATTCTTTCGAGGAAACGTAAATTCAATTCTGAACCAGGTTGAACTCTTTCTATCCCTTTTTAACACAGTAAGAAGTACTACAGGCAGCATCATAACATAGCGCATTCCGGGTACTTTCTAAAGGAGAGGCATTTTAAGAAATCGAAACCAATATCTGGGCAACACGAGACACTTCACCCTACAAGTATTCATTTACTTATTGGTACAGACGTCATTATTTGTTCAGTCGAAAGTTCTAAAACGTTGAAATTGGACTATTTCTCCCAATCGTATGGAAATTCTGGTTGTCCACAATTCTGTAGAGCTCTTCTCATAAGCTGAAATAACACATTTTGCTGTCTTCGTATTGTTTTCGAATAATCGTAACTACTCACTCCATAGATTTGCTGATAGTTGGGCTGATCATAGTATTTGTAGGAATCGACAAGTGCTAGTATTTCATGAAACTCTCGTGGACATGGTGGAGCGAAAAGCTCATAAATTCCTGGCGGTTGACGACATCTCTTTTTATATTCTCCGACCTGAACATGGAATGAAACCTTTCAGTCATGATTTGATAGTCTGGGATCAATCAACCTGATTCATGTCTTGCACTTCCCTCCATGGAACTCGCCCAACCGTGAGCTCTACCTGCTGGTACACCCACGTTTCAACATCATCCTTTCTGCACAGTTCTCTCTGTAGGTGACATGAAATGGGGGCATAGCGGACAGTGCCACGAAAGCCAGCCGCGGCACGAGGCTTTCTGATTACTCCCTGGAATTGTGGTTATAGTAACAACCTAAGGTAACTACGCATTGTGCTAGCGCTACATACCTATAATAGGATGATCACGACTGGGTAAGAATCACTCTGATCTTACCTCCTTACCTGATCTATCTTAAAAGGTGGACATCTGCTTTCCCAGACATCCCTTATAATTCAATCTCCTTTCCTGGACAATGTCTGTGAGGTTGTATACAATACTGTAAGGAAACCTTCAAGGGAACAGTCCACGATCTCCGGAAAGCATTAATGGGAGAAAACTTTGGTTCGGGAAGAAATGGGTAGCTCGTCCTGACCGGAAAGTGGCGTAACAGGTGATCAAGATTTGGTTTCCCGCTATAAGTCATTGAGGAGATACTGTGGGAGAGAGAAGTGGGAGTACAATGACCACCCAATTTCCTTTTCAAAAGTCATCACAACATTTTCTGGAACCTCTTCAGGCAATTCTCAGTTCTATGCATATGTGAACGAACTTGATCGTTTGTGAATTTCCTGCACATCCCAAAATCGAGGATGTATACTTTGCGTAATTCCCGAAGTTCCGGCCGTCCAATAGTATAATTGCCAGGTTTAACGTCACGATGAAGATACCCAATTCCATGTAGATCTGAATGAATGTAGTAACAGTGAACCCTGTACCATCAGTAGACAGAGTTGGAACAGCAAATCCCTTCAATGGCTTACCCTCTAGAGCTTCTAAACACTGGATACCCACAGAAAGTGCACAGGCCAGACTGAGACATTGAGGATTACGTTCCTTTCGTAAATCCTGTAGTGACTTCCCCACAAGGGTCATTACAACATAATTGAATGTCCCATATCTTCCTTTATCTTCAATTTTACAAAAGTGACGACCACCTCGAGCCGCTAACTCCGTAAGTACGAAGACTTCCATTTTTAATACCTGAAAAATACAAAAAGGACAAGGATTGTTCGAGATAAAAGCCAGATATATGCAAAAGGAAGGAAATCTTGATGCAGTTCTCAAATCGTACATTAGGTCAGTTGCTTCGAAATCGATCACTGCGAACAAAACTTTCAATTTTGTAAGGTCGGGTACTGTTTGGGAGGCTCAGACTGTGGAGACTGTAGAACCTTCAAAAGCCTTCCCGCTTCTATTCACGAACATTGCAAAGTCTTTGCCCAGCCCAGATACCCTCAAAAGTCCATCTCTGACTTCTCGGTAGAATGATCCCTAGCTACCATCTTTATACACAGGAATCACTATCGACTACCTTCATAGAACGAATCGAACCGGTTAGCGGTCGGGGTTGAAGTTGTGGGCTCCTCTAACCTAACGGCATGGCGCGTGCGATTGTGCTCGCCGCATCCGATCGAGCGCTATGAAGGGGAAGACTGAATTCTAATCTTAGATTATGGCAACTGCCGCATACCACTGTCGATGCGATGGGAACTTAATTAGAAGTGCCACAACCCAGGGTTAAAAGACAGCAGGGGCCTATTAGTGGACTCATTTTCATTCCCTGACTCGCGCGCCCCGGCTGAGTAGGTAGACAGTTCCCTGCAAGTTTGTTCCGTCAGCCGTAGCTGCCCTTTGAAAAGCTGAAATGTTCTGTGATGATAAGACGATAATGATAAGAACTAAACTTTCTGTAATAGCCTACTCAGTCTTGCCAGACGTTGGACTCAAGCGGCCGAGCTGGCCCACTGGATGTTTTGATCTTACGGATCGGCCGTCTTGTTAGTAAGATAATCACATCGTCTCTTCGAGGAAATTCAAAGAAGATTGGGGATCAGAGCCCACAACGTGAGGGTCAGATTTGAATAATGGCGCCCGATCAATTGGCTGTGAAGCGGGCCTCGCCGCTAGCGTACGCGATACAGTCCGATGTTGCGTAACCACTATAAACGACCCTTCGTGCAAGTCGCGCGCGTGTATCGCGGATCCGAACCTGGCTCGCTGTTGTTGTCTACAGTTGTCGTTCTCTTAGAGCCGAACAAAAGATATCCTAGATAGAGCCGTACCTGCACTTTCTCATCTACACCTTCTACCTTCAAAGCGTACTGCCCTGTCTGATCCCGGACCTAAACAAAGTAAACAGTCTGGCTTCTCCCAGTCTGGAGAGGGGTCAGATTACAGCTTACCCTATAGACAGCTCCAAATCCTCCCTCTCCAAGTTTCTTTTCTACATACCATCGTTCAATCTGCAACAGTTTCTATTTTGTAAAAATGAATGGAATTCATTACAAGAGCTTATGTTGTAACTTCACATCTGTCACGTACTTGAGTGCCAGGAGCGATTTGCTCTCCCATCAAACAGCCGAGTGTGGTGGACGAACTTCACTACAAGATGTATACCAGAGCTAGCTCACCACTTTTTATACGCCCATTTATCACCAAACAACTAAGTGTTTATCAGCAATAAATCGAATAGCCATTCAATGGTCTGGACTTTGAAAAGAAGGTTGTTAGGTGAAAATGTAGTTGGTGAAGGCCACTCCCCAATGCTTTGGGTCTCTAGCGCTGGCGGCTAGGGTTTAAAAAAGAGTGGGACGTCGGTTTTGCGGACTGCAGTGCTGTGGTGCTTTGAAAGGCTTCTGGGGTAAGAGGCAGAATGTTTGCTCAGACCTAAGTAGGGAAAGAGTTCTGGAGTTGGGTGAAATGCTTACTCAGGCAAAAGTTAGATTCGAAGAGGTGTCTTTAGTATTCTGCCCCACTGAGGGAGCGCAGACAAGGGCAAAAAACGAGGCCTCTCATTTCTACCGTCGGTTCTGGTAGGCACTTTTCTGTTCCAATTACACTTTTAAGACCAGGGTCCCAGGACCAAATGTGGGAGTACAGAGACTAGTTTTTGAAACGTCATTCGATCTAGTGAGATCTAGGCTGTAATGAATGGATCGACACGACACGACTTGAAGGAAGGAAGCGCAGAACAAGGACTTTCGTGGCGCTTTTAGATTCCAACTGCATCCATTACTAATAGAAGTTCCAGAAAAGAGTCTGGCTCATAAATATGCCGACTTAAGCTCAGGAAATCATTGTAATCCATTGAGTCGTGCTTCATACAATTCTTCAAACTCATTGGAACATGACCTTCCCTCTCTACAAATGGATTCACCACCACCACAGCCTTCGTCGTTCTAGCAGTTCCCTTTGCAAATTTCTTATGTGCTTTCTGTTAATTTTTTTCATTTTCTTTTTTTGAATTCAGCACAAGCATTCAAGTTCAGCTCCTGAGAATTTTGTATTCGCAAACCTAAAGTTACTAAAGTTGAAAAGCCTTAACGTCTTTTGATAGAAGAGGATGCCAAAGGGGAAGAAGTCATCTCAAGGGAAGGAGGGAGAGTGAAGGGAGAGGGGGAGAGGGTGCGGTGGCATTCACCCAACACGCTCACTCTGTTTTTTTTTGGGACTTTGTTGTTACGATCATTGGCTTTCGTCATAAACATCGTGAAGTATGTCACATGTCATTTCATCATACTATAAAGCGCTTAGTCTGTCTGTCTGTCTGTCTGTCTGTC